CCAGTGCGAACAGCGCGAACAGGCGACGCGGGACGAGCCGCAGGCTCACGACGCTCTGTAAGACCTCCGGTCTGCTCAGTGTAAGGAGAAGGAGCAGGCAGTGAGGACGCTGGCTGTAACTGCGGCTGTGACTGGTCAGGCGGTGGACACAGTAAGGGAGGAGGAATACCAGTAGAAGGCGGGAGACCAAGAACCTGCTGAAGCAGTGGAACGAAGTACAGTCGCGGCCGCACAGGTCCTCCAGAATCAGTACCGACAGCACCAGCACCCCCAGGGCCAGCACCTCCAGCTCCAGGGTCTCCGGCTCCAACGCCTGCAGCACCACCAGAAGCTCCAGTAGCTCCACTACGAGTACCTCCGGGACCAGCGGCTCCAGTACCTCTAGCAGCTCCAGCTCCAGCGGCTCCAGCTCCAACTCCTGCAGCACCTCCAGCTCCAGCAGCTCCAGTACCTCCAGTACGAGCACCTCTGGGACCAGCGGCCCCAGCACCTCCAGTAGCTCCAGCTCCAACTCCTGTAGCACCTCCAGCTCCAGCAGCTTCAGTACCTCCAGTACGAGCACCTCTAGGACCAGCGGCTCCAGCACCTCCAGCAGCTCCAGCTCCAGTGCCTGTAGCACCTCCAGCTCCAGCAGCTCCAGTGCCCCCAGCTCCAGGGCCTCCAGCGGTAGGCCCCCCAGCTCCAACTGCGCCACTCCGGAGGCTCCAGCGTCGAGCAAACCATTCGCGCAGCTGCGGTGGAGAGAGAGGCTCCCGCCGTGACGAGACACCCGTAGGACCTCCAGCAGACAAAGTACCTCCAGGCTCAGCACGCTCAGGCTCAGCACCCCCAGGCTCAGCACCTCTAGGCTCCGCACGCTCAGGCTCAGCACCCCCAGGCTCCACACCCTCAGACTCAGCAACCCCAGGCTCAGCACCCCCAGGCTCTGCACGTTCAGGCTCAGCACCCCCAGGCCCCGCACCCGCAGGCTCAGCACCCCCAGATGCAGCACCCCTAGCAGCACCAGAGTCGACAACTACCTCGACAGGCTCGACAGGGTCTACCTGGGACACACCTGAGGGAGCAGGACCCTGAGGGGGGAGGGGGTCTACCGGAGGAGGGCCTGGTGCGAGGAAGAGCGGCGGGGGAGGGAGAGGGGCAGTGCGGTAGGGGGAGAGACGGTAAAAGGGAACCGGCTTGTCAAACGTGACGTCCTGAGAGGGCAGGACATGGCGCGAGGTGGGGTGGTAAAACTGTCAGCCAGGCGCGTCAGGGGGAAAGCCAATGAAGACACAGGGAATGGCACGGGAGGAGAGCTTGTCCGCGGAAGTATCGCGGAAAAGGGCACGAGAACCCTAGACCCGGAACACCGACGCATCGCCAACCTCTCCCGTCCAACGCAGTGTCGGCGAGGTCTCCGGCAAGGAGACACGGGGCCAGAGGTTGAGCTGATGCGCAGCGTATCGGACCGCAAACGGCCACAGAAAATGGGGGGCAGCCGCATGGATCATGGAGGTACGAGCGACCTCCATGACTAAGCCAATGCGGCGCTCAGCAACCCCATTCTGCTGCGGAGAGGCCAGAAGCGTGAACGACTGGCGAATGCCCTCCCCACGACAAAAGTCCCGCAGAAGGTCGGAGGCAAACTCACCACCTCTGTCAAGTGTAGACGCAGGACGGGAAGGTCCGTCTCGAACCGCTCACGGAGCTGGAGACGGACAGCGCAGATCCAAGGGATCAAAACATCAAGGACCTCCCCCTTGCTGCGCAAGGGGAAGACCGTGGTGTAACGCGTGTAGTCGTCAACAACCAGCAGAAAGTAGCGCTCGCGGCCCTGTCCACGGACGCGGGCTGGGCCCCACACGTCCATGTGGAGAGTCTGCAGGGGAGCAGTCGTCGGGGGAAACGAGGAGGAGTGAGGAGCGGCGCGCTGCCGCCCCTCGACACAGGGAAGGCAGGGAGGGGCAGGCGAGGGTGGGAGGGGCGGCAGAGACCTAGGAAGACCAGAGACAAGGAGACGTGAGTGCATGCCACGGAGGCGTGGCACGGAGGGGTGACTAATGCGTTGGTGCCAAAGGAGCGTCTGGTGCGACAGGGCGCGACACGAGCAGGGGGCCGACAGCTGACCTGATGCAGACGCAGACGCAGCTACCTGAGGAGGCGCAGTATTCAGTGTGTACAGACTCGACCCAGGCCGACGGGTGAACGTGGCCAGGTGCCGGCCAGTCCGGGAGCACGTACAGATCGCCAGACGCTGTCCTCCAGGGGTGAAGGTATCAACCCACTGATCGTGAAGGACGGCGTTGCTCACCAAGTTCGTAGAGAACGAGGGGAGGTGAAGACCTGACAGTGAGCCAGATGGAACTGCCGAACACGGGAGAACAGTGGAGGAACGTGCAAGGACTGGGCCCCCCGAGGGGTCAGCTAAAGAGACAGCAACAGGTGCAGAGAGCGGTGTGACTGTGGTACTGTCGCGAAAGAAACATCGGGAAGCACCTGAGTCAAGCGTGAAGGTGTGCAAGGCCGCAACAGACGCAGTACCAGAGAGAGCAGACTCACTAGCACCTAAAGCAGCAGTCTCTATACCTGGGTTTGGCGGCATACACAAGTAACAGTCACCCTCAGCACTAGCAGTCAATGCATACATGGCAGCAAGGATAGCATCATAATCAAGAGCAAAGATATCCACACCCTGCCTAAGCAGCTCTGCATAGCGGGGGAGCTCAGCAGCGTCGGAAAACTCTGCACGAAAGGCGTCGTCAAGACGGAAGAAGCAGCGGTACTGGGTGTGAAGCTTCCCGCATGTCTGACCAGAGCGGTCACATGTGCGAATGACATACGGGCAGCGACCTCCACCCCCAGCCGCCCCACGCTGAGCAAACCACTCACGAAGATCTTGAGGCGAAGGGTTCTCACGCTGACGCTGCTGCTGCTGCCTCTGACCACCGCCAAAGCCTCCCCGCTGGCCGGTACCACCCCGGCCGCCACCACTACCACCGCCTCCACTCCCACTGCCGCCACCACTGCTGCCGCCACCACTCCCACTGCCGCCACCACCGCCGCCACCTACGCCTCCACCCCCGCCACCACTCCCTCCGCCACCACCGCCACCTCCACCGACTCCAACGCCCCCACCACCGCCTCCACCGCTGCCACCCCCACCACCCCTTCCTTCCTTGCCCTTGCCGTTGCGGCGCCTCCCACTAGGAGTAGACGCGGCTCCTACCTCCTCAGCACGAAGGTAGTCAATAGCTGCAGCAGAGGCGACTGAGGGGACAAGGGGGGAGGGGGAACACCCCTCAAAGAAGGGAGTGCGAGGAGTGCCACGAGAAGCGCCTACAGCGACTATGCTATTCTCAGCTGCAAGGAGGTGCTTCTCGAGCAGGTCGACAGTGAGGGCTGTGGGGTCAAGGGCAAGAAGGAGGTCCCTGACTGCGCTAAGAGAGTCAGGGAGGCGTGTGACGATGTAGTAGAGCGTGATGTACATGGGAGGAGGGTTCTTGGCTAGAAAATCGGCGGGAAGCGCGGCTCGGTAGCGGATGTCATTAGTGCGAAGGTGAGTGACGAGGTCGGCGACTGTAGCAAAGGCGGACAGCTCTGGGAACATGTAGGGCAGTATAAGACGGCCTAGAGCAGCAGTGGCCGGGGAGGAGTAACGAGCGACTACAGCGTCGTACAGGGCTCTAGCAGTCTTGTGCTGGCCAAAGTGAGCACGCTCGGCTAACGGCAGGTGGTTGCGAACGGCTAGGCGAGTAAGCCGCTGTGAGCAAGTCGCACTGTCCGCTGTGTCGGGAGGGGCGAGAGAGGCGCCAGACGTGAGGAAAAACAGCGAGACACCGTCCCTAGAATCGCTCAGTAAGTACAGCTGCAGGTCATCTAGCCACGCGTCGAACTGTATCGGACGGCCCTCTGCATCGAACGAAAGTACACTGAGAGTGGCCATAGCGGGCAGAGTTGTAGGGCGCGCTAGCAGCACAGCAGCACGCAGGCAGGGCAAAGCAAAGCAGTGGCTAGCAGGGCAGCTCGCAGGTAGAGCAGGGCAGGGCGGCAGTCAGCGTGGCAGGGTGGCGCGGCTGTTAGCGGCGCTCAGGCAGGGAAGGGCGGTGCGGCCAGCAGGGCAGCGCGCGGGCAGGGCAGGGCAGGGCGGATGCCAGCAGGGCGGCGTGCAGGCAGGGGCACGTGACGAGCAGGGGCACGTGACGAGCAGTGCAACAGTGCGGGGCAAGGCAGGGCAGCCGCGCGTGCAGAGCAGCAGCGCGGAGCAGGGCAGGTGCACGGGGCAGAGCTTACACGTGCAGGCAGGGCAGGGCAGCCGCGCTTGCTGGCACTACACTGTGCAGGGCAATGACAGTAGTGCAGTAGCAGTAGTGCAGTCGCAGTAGTAGGGCAGCAGGGACAGCGGGCCGGCGAGGTGCAGGGCCAGTGCAAGTGCACGGGCGGCAGGGCAGGTGCGCACGGGCCTGGCGCGGGCTGTACAGACTGCGCGCGGGCCTGGCGCGGGCTGTAATGGCTGCGCGCGGGCCTGGCGCGGGCTGTATGGGCTGCGTGCGGGCCTGGTGCGGGACGTACGGGCTGCGTGCGGGCCGTGTGCGGGCTGTACGGGCTGCACGCGAGCGGCGCGCGGGCTGTACGGGCTGCACGCGAGCGGCGCGCGGGCTGTATGGGCTGCGCGAGGGCGGCGCGCGGGCTGTACGGGCTACGCGCGGGCGGTTCGCGGGCTAAACGGGCCTGGCGCGGGCTGTACAGACTGCACGCACGGCAGGGCAGGGCAGCGGGAAGGCATGGGGAAGGGCAGGGCAGGGCAGAATTTCGGGCAGGAAAAAAAAAACTAAGCTGTGGGCCCTCTTAAAAATGGTCCTTAGGAAGGACCTGCTCTATACCATGTCGAGACTAGGTAAGGAGAATAGTTGGTCATTAGGTCAAGGGGGAGGGGTACAAGAACAACATCGAGAGAAATTGTGTACCCCCTAGTGCTAACACCCATATAGCCTAAAGCACATAAGCATATATGTTTTGACAGTTCAGGCATCCGCACAACAATCATTGGCCGAAACTCTGCCCTGAGCTCTGTGCAGATCTTGTTGGCCACCGTGTACCCATCCATCTGGAGGAGGCGTGGGGGGCAGGGGAGGTGGGTGGGGGGTGAAAAGAGGGAGGGGAAGGGAGGCAGGAGGGGGAAGAGAAAGGAATGAAGAGAAGTGGAACGGGGATGAGAGGGCGTTGAATCTTGTCGGCCACTGTGTAACCATCCATCTAGAGGAGATGGGGAGAGGAGGTTTTGCGGGGGGAGGGGAGGAAGGAATAGCATGCAGAAAAGTTAGGAAAGCACAGAATATTGAGCACTCTAGTATCCACTGAATATATGGGTGGTCAGTGTTTGGAATTCGGAGGAGCGTGGCATAGGCATGCTCAACAATCATCAGCTGCAGCTCTGGCATAGGCATCAGTGTGTTGAGGTGACTTTTCAGTCGAATCAAAAGTCATATTTTGGGTAGACCCAAATGGCATAGGCATCAGTGACTCGGTATCCATCCTGACTCTGACTCCTCTTCCTCACCCCGTTTGGAAGCAATCGCCCCCGTTTTCTCCTCTCCCTCCTCTTCCTTCCTCCACCGCCTATTCCTCCTCTTTCCCCTCCACTCCCTCTCCCTCCGCCCCCCACACTCTTCCTCCCCTCCTACCTCGGTTGCACCTCGGCCACCATGAGGAAGAGCAGCAGCGCGTCATACTGAATCTGTTTTTTTAGATTTCCTTGTCGTACCACCTCACTGCTGATGCACTTTTTTTTCTCAAAAAACAGATTCAGGAAGAGCAGCAGCGCGTCATACTCAAAGAACACTAAACCTGAATCAACTCCTCCGCTTGATGCCCCCCCTTCTCCCCACCTCCACCCCTCCCTTCTCCCCTTACAGCCCAACACCGGGCATCATGAGATGGAGCAGCAACACATCTTACTTCAAAGGAGAGCATACCTAGCACCTTCCCCCTTCCTTCCTCTCCCTTCCTCCCCCCACTAGCACACCACCTTGGGCATCATGAAATTGAGCAGCAACAGATCGTACTTCGAAGGAGACTATCCCCCAACCAAGCTCTCTGCTTAGATACCTGCCTTCCCCACTTCGATGGCCCCACGAACCCACCTCGGGCATCATGAGGTGGAGCAGCAGCACGTCGTACTTCAAAGGAGAGTATAAGTGCGACGTTCTGCTGTTGGACCTCATGATATGTAAGATGTGTTGCTTCTCGATCTCATCGTGCTGCTACTGGACCACCCTGACCCTGACCCTTACCCTGATAATCCCCTCCCCTCCCCACCCCCCACCCCGCCCTCCCCACGAACGAACCCACCTCGGGCATCATGAGGTCCAGCAGCAGCACGTCGTACTTCTCCTCGTCCTGCTCCTAAATGGACTAACCCCTAACCACCATCCCCTCCCCCCCCCACGAACCCACCTCGGGCATCATGAGGTCCAGCAGCAGCACGTCGTACTTCTCCTCGTCCTGCTCCTCCGCCAGGATGCGCAGGCACTCCCTGCCCGACTCCACCACGCGCGTTGAGATGCCGATGCGATCAAGAAGACGCTTCGTCACGAGCCGGTTCACCATGTTGTCATCCACCACCATGATCTGGGATGGAGGGAAAGGATGGGGTGTGGGGATGGGGTGGGGTTGGGTGGGGTTGAGGTGGGGGGATGCGCAGACACTCCCTGCCCGACTCCACCACGCGCGTTGAGATTCCGATGCGATCCAGCAGACACTTCGTCACCAGCTGATTCACCATGTTGTCATCCACCACCATGATCTGGGAGGTGGGTGGGGTGCGGGGGGTGGAGGGGGGGAATGGGAAAGGAGGGGAAGGAGGAAGGGGGTGCCAGGGGTTTGAGGTGTCAATGTCACGAGGCGGTTCACCATGTTGTCATCCACCACCATGATCTGCCATGGAAGAAAATGATAGGGGTGTGGGGATGGGTGGGGATGGGTGGGGTTAAGTGGGGTTACGGTGGCGGTGAGGTGAGGGGATGCGCAGGCACTCCCTGCCCAACTCCACCACACGCGTGTTGAGATGCCAATGCGGTCCAGCAGACGCTTTGTGAAAAGCCGGTTCACCATGTTGTCGTCCACCACCATGATCTGGGGTGTGTGGGGTGAGGGGAGGGAATGGAAAGGGGTGAGGGGGGAACGGGTGTGGGTGTTGAGATGGCGATGCGGTCCAGCAGGCGCTTTGTAACGAGCCGGTTCACCATGTTGTCATCCCCCACCATTGTCATCCCCCACCATTGTCATCCCCCACCATTGTCATCCCCCACCATTGTCACCCCCCACCATGATTTGAAAGGAAGGTTATGGGCCGTTGGGATGGGTGCGGATGGGTGACGGTGGTTGGAGAAGAGTATTGAGAGCCGACTCACACATCACTCAACCGCAGAGCAAGGCCCCTCGTCTCGTCCTGGTCCTCGTCGCTGCCCTCTACAGTATACCCTCCCCTCTCTTTGCTCCAAGCCTTGTTCTTTGAGAGACTAGCCCCGTTCTTGAAAGTCTCACCCGCAGGGCAAAGAAGTTGACGTCAGGCCCCTCGTCCTGGTCCTCGTCGCTGCCATCACTGCCCTGAACCCCCCTTCCTCTCCCCCCTTTCCCTATTCCCCCAAACATCTCACCCGTAGAGAAAAGAAGTTGACATCAGGTCCCTCGTCCTGGTCCTTGTCGCTGTCGTCACTGCCCTCAGCGTCCAGCTTGAGCATGGCCAGGAACTTGCACGTCGCCCCCTTGCCCCGCCCGTTGCTCTCCATCCATATGTGCCCGTTCATCAGCTGGCAGGCGGACAGGTTGGAGCGAGGGGGGGAGGATGGGCATGATAATAGGCTCTCCATCCATACGTGCCCGTTAGCTGCACTGCAGGCAGTCAAGCAGGCAGGTTGAGATGCTATCCTGTGCTTCCTCTCATGCCCTTCCTCCCACGCCCGCCACTCTCCCCAACATTTCAACCCAGCCCAGCCCAGTCCTGCTGCCCTTGGTCTCGTCCTCCTGAAACTTGTCAGACAGCTTCACAACCCACACATGCCCACCACCACCACTCACCCAGTGGGCTCTATCTCGGACCCATCAGAAAAGAGGACCTCTCTCTTCCACTGCGTCAAACAATTCCGATGGATGCCGGACTCACGAGATAGAGCACGCACCGAAACCGCCACTTCTAGCAGCGCGAGCCACTTCAGTGTTTCCTGGGCTGTGTATCCCTTTCGCTTGTGCTACGTCATCTTGTGCCAGGGAGAGGGGGGGGGGGGGGGGGGCATCACGGTTCTGTGAAGATGGGTGGGGACGCTTGCGGTTAGTCGGTGGATAAGACGGTATTAGCAACTTTTCAGGAAGGTCATCGCGCGACCAGTATTCGACACCGTCGTCGTCGTCGCCGCCCGTGGCGCCCTCGGGAAACATATCAGCCTCGGTGCCCGCCTCGGTGCCACCCTCTGTGCCGGTCTCGTCGTCAACCTCGGTGCCCTTGTCGCCCTCCGCGCCCTCGGCATCCACATCGTCGTCAGCGCCAACGGCGGATTCATCCCACACGCAGTCTACGGGCTCGCCCCAGCGTGGTGCCGGCGCGGGAGCCTCGGTGTACTCATCTTGAGGCTAGTCCTTGACAGGTTCTTCTAGCCACTCGTTGAATGTCGCAGGGAGATGGTGGCAAATCTGGAGCACGGGCCGGTTGCCCAAGGATTCAAGAGGAGGAGGATTCGGAGGAGCAGGAGGCGCGGGAGGCGACGGAGGAACAGGAGGAGCAGGGGGGACAGGAGGCGCAGGAGGTGCTGGTGGCTCGGGGGGCTCTGGTGGGGCACGGCAGTACCATCCGTCAGCGGTAACGGTAAACGCGCGCCTCGCCGGCTTCTTCTTGAAGAGAAAATGCGTGCCAGAGAATTCCGCCATGGCTGAAGCAGCCTGGCGGGAGAGGCATGAAAACTGAATCCGAATGAGCAAAAATGAGGAATGAAATGAACTTGGAGGGACGCCTTCGCCTTGGCGCCTTGGGGTCCTCGTCGATGACCGACGGGAAACCCCCGCCTAAACCCGCAAAGGACCATGCGTGGCGTGCACGATGCTGCGTTGGCATGGAAAATTCCACCACCTTCTAGTGGATTCGGGTGGAATTTGCCTGCATGGCAACGTATCCCGCTGTGATTGGACCGCACGGCAGGATTTGCGTCAGCGCGGGCAGGAAAGATTCCACCCCGTTCTAGAGGGTTCGGGTGGAATCGGCTGCCCTGAGGTGCATGACAATGCGATTGGGCCGCACGGCAGGATTCGAGTCAGCAACGCCAGGTGCGTTGCTTCTGGACGTGAATTTGTGGTAGGAAACCGAATCACGGTTTATTTCCCCTGAAACCCATGCACGAAACTACCTGAACGATTGTTTGGTTGTGTTCGCCTTAAAGAGAGCTTCAATTTGGTGCCCTGAAAAACAAAATTCATTTTTCCCGTCGTATAGACGCATGCGCTAATACCCGTTACTAATTTACAAGCGCCCCCCTAAAAAAGAACGATTTTATTATAAGCGCATAGGCACTACTATCCAGGGTAATACGGTATCAATAATATTTAAACTAAGCAGTTTTGTTATTATCAGGTGTTTCATCTTATACTGTAGCCAATTCGTGCCATAAACGCGAGAAATAATCAACCTCAATACTGTCACAAATTATATTCTCACTCGCAAACATCTCACTCGCACTCCTGAAACTGCCGAACGCCACCGTCTTCCCCCCCACCCTCGCCAAATGCTGGGAGGTGGGGAAACTGCCTGGCACTCCCATCCCCGTAACCTGCCTGTGAAACAAACGCGTCAATACAACAGAAACGGGTGTACTATGGCAGTTTAGGACCAAAGTTGTAGAAAAAAAAGGGTCGTAAACCGCAGTTCACACGCTGCGCGGAAACGGACAGTTTTGGACAACACAACACTCCACTTACGGGGTGCATGGAAAACAACCGATTCAACACCAAAACTTGTGCCTCAAAGTCCCAATACTGCCTAAAACTTTACACACAAATTTCTGATGCGGTCCTGTGTGTGATAAGTCGGATGGCGCAGCGAATACAAAAACATCCATGGTGTCTGCTTTCCTCCGCCATCTGGCGACGTGCAGAGGGCGAATGGGTTCTAGTAATGCAAGCGTCGTTTGCTTGCGAGATGGAAGGCGATCCTGCTTTTTGAATGCCACGGAGGAGGGCGTGAAGGTGCAACTGCAAGGCGACTCAATGCGCGCATCGCACACATCATTCATTCCCGCCTCCTACTCCGCGGCCCTTCTCTTCAAGCCCAGCCTGCGGCGTTTCTCTTCCCTAGCCATCACCTCTCCTACCTGAGTCATCTTGTGATCGTAACTTCTTACTGCTTGTAGCCTCTCGTCCATCCTGTCATAACTATGCTCTAGGCTGTAGTGGGGCACTCCTTATGGGGTACAGCCCAAATTAGGTTTTGCCTATACAAACCTTGTACTTCTCTCTTTCTAGTCATTCTCTCCTTCACATTTCTGACATGGTTTCAGAGCAGGTTCCCTAGTGGGAACGTTTTTTTTTGGGCCCACCACGATTTTTTTTTTCCTGCCCTGCCCGAAGCGCGCCTCGCGCCTGCCTCACCTGCGCCGTCGCGCGCCCTGCCCTAGTACCGCCCGTCGCGGCCCTACCTTCTCGGCCCGACGCGGCCCTGCCCTGTCGCCGCCTCGTCGCGGCCTGACCTAGCCGCCCGTCGCGGCCTGACCTAGCCGCCCGTCGCGGCCTGACCTAGCCGCCCGTCGCGGCCCTGCCCTGCCGCCCCTCGTCGCGGCCCTAACCTCGCCACCCGTCACGGCCCTGCCCTGCCGCCACCCGTCGCGGCCTTGCCCTCAGCCGCTCGTCGCGGCCTTGCTCTACCGCCGCCCCGTCGCGGCTCTGCTCTGCCGCCGCCTCGTCGCGGCCCAGCCCTACAGCCGCCCCAGTCGCGGCCCTGACCTAACCTCCAGCTGCGGCCCTGCCCTGCACCCGCCCCTGGTAAGCACCCGCCTGCCCAGCCGAGCCGCGCCGCCCAGCCGAGCTGCGCCGCCCAGCCGGGCCGCGCCGCCCTACCGAGCCGCGCCGCCCAGCCGAGCCGCGCCGCCCTACCGAGCCGCGCCGCCCTGCCGAGCCTCGCCGCCCTACCCTACTGAGCCGCACTGCCCTGCCCGCGCTGCTCCTGCTGCTACTGCTACTACTGCCGCCATGGCTAGCCCTAATGTTTTTACCTTTGATGCTGAGGGTCGTGCGGTTGACTTCGACGTTTGGGTAGACGACCTACAGCTCTTTCTTCAGTGCGACTCTAAGGACGGAGTCTCACTTTTCGATCACACGTCCGGTGTCTCTCCTGCACCTGCTGCCACTGCTGACAGTACGGTTCGCTCGCAGTGGACTACTCGTGACGCTGTTGCTCGCCTTGCTGTTCGTAGTCACCTGCCATCTACTGAGCGCGTGCACTTTGGCTAGTACAAGACTGCTAAGTCTTTGTATGACGCTGTTGTAGCGCACTACTCCTCCTCTGCCACTGCTGCCCTCATCCGCCTCATGTTGCCGTACCTGTTCCCTGACCTGGCCGCCTTTGCCACAATCGCTGACCTCATTACTCACCTCCGCACTAGTGACGCCCGCTACCGTGCTGCGCTTCCCACTGAGTTCTGCGCCAAGAACCCCCCCCCCCCCCCCCCCCCCCCCATGTACATCACCCTCTACTACCTAGTCACCCGTCTCCCTGACTCCCTTTCTTCAGTCAGGGACCAATTTCTCTCCCTTTGTCCCATCGAGCTCACCGTCGACCTGCTAGAGGAGCGCCTCACTGCAGATGAGAAGAGTATCGTTGCTGTAGGTGCTTCTCGCGGCGACCCTCGCGGCCCCTTTCTTTGAGGGGTGTTCCCCCGTCCCCCTTCTCCCCTCTGTTGCTTCTGCTGCTGCTGTCGACCTCGTTGGCACTGAGAAGGTCGGGGCTGCGTCTGCTCCTAGTGGGAGGCGCCGCTACGGCAAGGGCAAGGGGAGCAAGGGTGGTGGAGGGGACGGTGGCGGCGGCGGAGTAGGCGGTGGAGGAGGCGGAGGGGGTGGCGGTGGAGGTGGGGGTGGTGGCGGGAGTGGGGGCGTCGGTGGCGGCGGTGGGGGTGGTGGAGGCAGCGGCAGCGGCGGTGGAGGCAGCGGCAGCGGCGGTGGAGGTGGCGGCGGTGGTGGTGCTGGTCGAGGTGGAGCCGCGCAGCGTGGAGGCTTTGGCGGTAGCCAGCGCCTGCAGCAGCCAAGTTCCCGTGAGACCCTGTCGGCCTAGCAGCTTCGTGAGTGGTACGCTGGGCGTGGGAGGTCTGGGGGTGCTGGTCCCTGCACTTACGTTCTTCGCACCGGCGGGCGCCGTGGGGAGACGTGCGGCCTGCCCCACACTACGCAGCACTGCTTCGGTCGCCTGACTGACGCCTGGCGCGCCCAGTTTCCTGACGCCGCTGAGCTCCCTCGTTGGGGTTATCTGCTTAAGTAGAATGTTGCTATCTTTGATCTTGATTTCGATGCTATCCTTGCTGCCATGTATGCTGTGACTGATAGTGCTGAGGGTGACTGTTACTTGTGTGTTCCGCCCGACCCGGGCATTGAGGCTGCTGCTTTAGGTGCTAGTGAGTCTGCTGCTCCAGGTGCTAGTGAGTCTGCTGCTCCAGGTGCTGGTGAGTCTGCTCTCTCTGGTACTGCGCCTACAAAGGCCTTGCACACCTTCACACTTTGACTCAGGTGCTTCGCGCTCCTTCTTTCGCGACAGCACCACACTCACGCCGCTCAGTCGGCCGGTTGCAGTCTCCCTGGCTGACCCCTCTGGGGGCCCAGTCCTTGCGCACTCCTCCACGGT